CTTTGTATCTCTCCCTCTCTTTTTTTCTGTAAATAAAGTTTATTCTTGCTTTGCACTGTTGTCTGATACCTCTTCCTCTTCCTCTTCCTAAGCCAGGGAGGCAGAAAACCCTGGGAAAATTTGAAGCTGGGCTGGTGACTCGAGACCCACTCAGGGATGTGACATCCCAGGTTTTAACACAGCACTAAATAACTTAAGGGAAGGAGGAAGGGAAGGGCCCAGGACTCAGGGCTGCTAGACCAAAAGAAAACCTTCTGCAGCAGCTCTGCTCCCTTTGGCCTGGCCCAGTCTGACACCAGAGTGCATTTTAGGCACTGGTCCAGCACATCCTAGTGGTGGTCCTGGGAGAAACTGCCTGCCTCTGACAGAGCAGACCCATCCTCCTGCATGGAGCAAAAGGAGGGTAAAAAAGATGTCAGTTTTCAGAGAAGGGAAATGAAAAGAAGAAAGAATTTTTGCAGAGTCATTTTGTGTATTCCAGGTGTACTTATGTTGAGAGAAACATATTCTGGTCCTTCCAACTGTGCTAAAATGGATGTTTGTGAAAACACATCATCACTGTACAGTATCAGAAGTGCTCTCTCACTGTTAGCATTTACTGCTTCCAAGAACAGAATACAGTATTTTATCCTCATGAAAAGTGAGGAGTGAAGGGAAAGGGGAATGCTCATCTAGAAGATGACTGTTATCATGATCATGGCTTTTGCAAAATCTCTATTGGTGTTGAAAACTAGGAAAAATAATTCACCCAGAATTCATACATCTTGACAAGAACTATGGTTTTTAGATATTATGGGAAATATTTTTTGGCATTTTCTTCCCTCTGATTTTATCTCTCTTCCCCTTTTGTTAAAAAATACAGAAAAAAGAAAACACAAAACAAAACCAAGAAGAAAAGAAGAAAAATGGAAATTTGATTGTTGTATGGGAAAAAAAATCACAGTCCAGATGGCTCAGCTGTCCACACCTGACTTGCTACCTTTGTAGGATGAGCCAACCCTTTTCCTTCTGATTAGCTCCTCTTCTACAGGGAAGAACTTTCAAATGTTAATTTTTTGCTTTTGAAAATATAAGTAATTACTATCTTGTAGAAAAAATCCCCTACAAATTATAAAATACCGTGTTCAATCCCTAGCACAAACAAAGACACTAACAAATTAAAATTCCTCCTGGTGAAAGAAATGGAGCAGAGTGGATTAGAGACTTCCAAGAATACGTACAGCCAGGAGAAGACTTCCTAGCTTCTCCTCAGAGTACAAATATGTGTCACAGTGTCTCAGTATCAAGTTGGTAATTGCTTTCATAGAAATAGAAATTAAAATGAAAGCACAAATTGACAGAAAAAAGCTTTAATTGCAAAGCTAGGGGAAAGCCAGGAAAGGACTCCAGCTTAGGTGGCTGGAGGGGGCTGACTGACACAATGTCCAGATTGGCCCACTGGGAAGGAAGGGAGGCCAGCTTTCAAGGACTAGCTGGTGGGCTGGAGTCTGGTTGATCATTATCTCAGCCTGGTGTTGTAGCTCTGAAATCTTTATGGCTGAGGGGTGGTCCCACCTCCAGGAAAGGATTATCTTTCTCTGTGGTGGTCCCAAGTCATGTGAGGCTCTGCCTGTCAAACATTAATGTTTGAATGATTGTCCATGTGAAATAAATTATGGCTGAAGAGGAACAGGTTTATCTTTTAGCAAAGAAGCCTCCAATATTACTTGGATGGCCTGTAGTGGTCTCACTAAGGATCCCAGGAGGCTCCCCTAAACACCAAACAGGTCTGCGTCATCCAATGTTCCATGTCACCCATCCTTGAGCTACAAGTGAAGGCATCCCGTTACTTTTTTCAATAGTTTAATAAAACAGACACACAAACTAGCTTCCAGGAGGCCCAGGTGTTGATAGTGTTGGTAGTACAGCTGGAAACAGGGAAGTTGAGAGAGCCATTCCCTTTCCTTCATGCAACTATAAACACAACACCACCCTACTGATTATGTTTAAATTTACGCAGTTGTAAAAATAATTAAATAAAATAAATAAATTTAGGGGGTTGTGATGCCCAAGGTGGCAAATCATTGACACCAGTTAGAGACAGAATAGACGGCACCTGGAGTCAGAAGTGTCTGACCACATTGGGAGGCACCTGGATTAGAGGCATCTGACCCTTTAAATACTAGAAGCCTGAGCTATCCAGGGCTCCTCTTCCTCCTCCTTTTTCCTATTGCCCTTCTGCCTGTTCCTCCTGCTACTGTCCTATGATCTTCAATAACCATAGGTACTTACTGTGAAGTATATGCTTAGCCATTCTTTCCTTGTTGTGCACAAGAACCTGGACTATTTTTGGCCTATTCAATTGTAACCATAGTGCTAGGGTTGGGACTAGAGGTGGAAGCAGAGCTTAAAATTAAAGGCCTGGGTTCAGCACTCCCTGGGTTTAATCCCCAGTACCACCAAACAGTAAAGCAAACAACCTCAACAATAGCAACAAAACAACCACCACAACAAAAAACAAAACCAAGGCATTCTGAGGATTCAGAATTTAATGATAGGCTTTTTATGATAATGTGCTCATTTAGCCAGTGGACTCCAAAGTGATGGAATGTATGTATGGCAACCTACTTGTGTGATGAGAAAAGAACTTCTTGTCAAAGTTTTATAGTATGTATACTATATCAATGCCAAGATGGTACAGATATGTAATCTTTCTCCCCACTGAGAGAGATGTGTGATCAAAAA